TGAAAGGGAGGGGGGAGGGGATATGGAAAGTCAGTGGAAGAGTCTGGCCAGCTTTCCTATGTACATATATGACTATACCCCAGTGAATCTCACTGTCATGTACACCCACAGGAAACTATAAATAGCAGAAAGTTCAGTGGAGTAGAGGGAAGGGAACAGGGAAGGGAGGAAGGGAGAGGAAGGGGAAATACTGGAGACAGAATTAGACCAAATTATGTAGTCTGCTTTTATAATTATATCATAGTATATTCTATTGTCTTATATAAATAAAAAGAACAAAATTTTTTTTTTAAATTATAAAGATGGCTAGTGATGTAGCTCAGTGGTTAAATGACCTTGGGTTTAATTTCCATCTCCAATTAATAAATAAACAAACAAATAAGTAAGTTGACCAATGGGTACTAAGTTATAGTAAGATAGCACTAAGAAGTTTTGGGGTGCTGTTGCACTTTAGGATGACTATGGGTGTTGATAATGTACTGTATATCTTAAAAAGCTGGATGGAAGACATTGGATGTTTTCACCACAAGGGAATAAAAAATGTTTGAGGGGATAGATATGTTTAACCCGATTTAAATTTTGAACAATGTCTATTTATATTGAAATATCACATGAAACCCCACACATATGTACAGCTTTTATGTATTGTTAAAAACAAACTAAAAATCATTAGAAAGACTTATACTTCTGGTACGATGCGAAAGTTTATAGCAGACTAATATTCTCTCTCTGAGAACAACAGGAAAAGTAGAATATGAAATAAAATGCATTCCATGAAAGAGCATCAGAAAACTGGAGAGGCAATCAGGAACACACAGAGACCAAGGATCCTGAGAAATAAGACCATGGAGAAGTGAGATGTTCATTCTACAGGTGAACATGTTGACTGGGAGAGGTGGTGAGGATGACAACTCCCTGTCTCTCCCTTTAGCCTTTCTTAGGATCAGGGGCTGAGGTACCAGACTTTGCTTGAACTGGGGATTGTTGCCAACAGCTTAGCTTTTGATGTGATTTTAGGGCTGACATGACAAAATGTAAACCTGAGGGGAAAATCTTCTAGGCAGAGGAGAGGATCAAAGAAATAAGCCAGCAATACAACGTATTTTCCTTTTATCTAGTTAGATTTTTCTTTTAGCTGGTCAGATTTTTGAAGCATTGCTGGTCAGTAGGTCAAGAAATTAGGAAGACAAAATTTGTAAAACATAGAAGAGATTTTGGTCATGTAATTGTGGATCAGGGCTGCTAGGGGAGAGTTTCTTATAAAAAAAATAACAGATTTTCAATTGAAAGCTTTGGAGGGTGCTGTGCTACAAGCTGAAGATGAGTGAGGACATTCATGGAGTCATATGTTATCTTCTATCCAGCCCAAATTTCTTTAATCAACTAAGCACGAGCTGACCTTGCTATATATTTTCATACACGATTTTTTGCTGCTCAGTCAAAAATTACTACACACATTAAAAGACAGGCTGTCAATCTAATAAAAACCTTAAAATCATCATCATTAATATCTTCAAGAAAAGAAACCCCACTGGAACAGAGAGATGAACAGAGAGTTTCACAGATGAATTAGAATCTAAATCCAGAATCCAATGGAAGTTCCAGAGTGGAATTTTCTAGAATTGAAAAATATAATCAGTGAAATGAAGAGCTCAATGACTGAGTTGCACAGGTTAACTGAGTAACTCAACAGCAAACAGCATTAGAGACCCCAGTGAAGGGCAAAAGAAAATGTTAAAATGGAAGTAAAGAGAGAAACAGAAAGGAAAAGGAAAAAAAAATGTGTGGAGACGGGGTAAGAGATAGTCTTGCAGAAACAATGTCCGAGGGGAAAATGGTTGATAGTTTCCAAAACT